TTATTTGTTCTTAAACCATATCTCATTTCCGCATGATTCTTAAGAATCATGTTAAGCTTTTTAGCATCAATGTCTATAGTATGAATAGGCGGTGGCTTGTTGCCCCTTTTTTTGTTTTCGTTTTGCTCACTAGATTTGTAATCATTGTTCTGTATTGTTAATTCAGAGGAATAATTAGGTTTGGTATTCTCTGATAGTTTATCAAATTTATTACTTACTGAGACTGTATTTAAAGGCGTAAGAGCTATTTTGTTTTGCTTCTCTGGAGATAAAGATTTTTTCGGAATTTCCCATARTTTTGAATCGCAACCCACCTYATCTGATCGTAGATGATCGTCATCATCCATCACTGTTTCCACATCATTGTGAATATTTATGTTAGAATCACTTTTGTGTGTATTAAGTGCAGTTGGACGTATTGTTGTTCTTTGTACAAGGTTAGGTTGAGTAAGGCACTGAGATTTATTGTTTCCTAATTCTCTAATTACTCGTTGGTATTGCTTTTCAAGACTCTCAGACAGAGCCATTTTTGCCGGTTTTTGTCTACCACCGTTTGTTACATCACTTTCATGAGTGAATTCCCTATGCTTTCTCTTCTGCGAACTTTTAAGGTTAGGTCTATCTTTATATAAACTAACGTTACATTTTATATTGGAATCGTCTTCATCTAACATTATAAAAGATAAATTGCTTCCATTATTATCAATATATACAAGATAACAGTAAAAAACTGAAAACTACTATTACTTAATACTGTTTATTTACTACACGAACTAAGCACGTCTTTACGATTTGAGCGCCGCCACGAGACTCGACGAGAACTTGTGCTTTCAGCACGGTATGGCCGTTAACAATAATATAAATCATACTAAACGTATTTCTCATGTATTTCGAACTAACAGTAGTTTCATAATATAATAAAATAAAATAAATTTAAAAAAATAATGATATATTCGTATTGCTAATTAAGGGTTACAGATAATTAAAGATGAATAGGAAATTGATGTATTTAAAATAGTTAACAGAAATCCTAATGTACAAACGTAAAACTGTATATAACCTGTAAACGTATTAATTAACATTGCAAAGTCAATATCAATGGATGGAAAGATATATTTTAGATGACGTTTAAATAAGATGGCAAAATAAGTTGATAGAATAAATCAATCGTTTAATATATTCAGTTGATGACGCATAAGAGTTATTATTTGCAATAAATTACTCGAGATATAATTTCGTTTTTTTTCTGCTTTTTTATCTGCCATCGACTACTAAGAAAATTTCTTTTTCATTTTATTTCTACAAGGATTTAATTGCACTCGTTTTAATCGAGTTTATAATATTAATTTTTTTTCTTTTTTTTTTTTTTTACAGAGAAGCCTTACATGTTCTGTAAGTATTATGTTTTTAAACACTTTTATCGGAAATATTACTTCTGATGCTTCTGTTACTGTCTCTCCTTTGAGGACCACGAGCTTGTCTTGTATTACGACCAGTTGTTGGTAATTCTCTATCACTACCGACTCTTCTTAAGCTCGTGTCTCTCTCAAGACGAGATTTGTTATTTTTCTGTACAGGACCTCGGATATTGGTATACACAATGTAAACAGCAAGAATACCAACGATGAACATTGCAACTCCTACGCCACTGACAGTACCGACCTATTGAACAAATTTAATTAATTGAAAAATAATTTAACGGATGAAAAAGTAAATATTTTCTATATGGACACACAATAGTTTGCGTATTTCTGCTGGAAAGTGATATAATTATTGTTGCATGACAAATTTTTAATTAATTCAAATATTTACGTTTCGATAACAAAATATCAATTTTCGGTTTAGATGTATAAATAATTATTTTTTGCAAAAGATATGCAATGTAATTTTTTTCTAATATTTAAAAATGATATCCGGAAATGATCTTTTTCTGTAATAGAATTTTTGATTGCAAAAGAAACTAATTTACGGAAAAGTAAATACTTTTCGCATGACGTCATTGGCATTTTGGAATAAAAAGTAATAAGAGAATTATTTGTAAACTAATTTTATCATTAAATACTCTGACCATAAATTAGAATATCTCAAATACTTTTGATTAGTTAGTAGTTTGATTCATTAGTTACTAAATTACAGATATGTATATATTTATCTACAGTTTCTTAAATTTTTTGTCAAAATAATGAGTTTAGTAAAGTAAATCTTTGTGCTAATTCAATCTCTGATTAAGTGCATAACATTTCATGTTTTTCATCTCTAACCTACTTTAACCTCTTAATTTTTCCAACAAAAACCTACAATGTAACTAGAGCATTATCATAAATTACAAAATGGCTGAAAAGATTATAATGAAATTTGTTAAATTTTATTGTATTTATGCCAACAATGATACCCAGTTAAAATTATAAAATATGAGCAATAATTTGTGATTTTAATGGTATTTGTAATAGATCGTAGAAAAAAAAATACAACGTGAATTTCGAACGGAAAGTGACTACCACTGTATTCGCTATACTTCTTAACTTTCGTCTGGCGCCTTGGCCAAAAATATTCACGTCTCGTAAAACAAAATATCACTTTCCTGTCTAGACCCACATATAAAACTATTTACGAATAAGATAAGAAAGTAGGACTTTGTCTAAGTTTATTTACCATAGTCCACCATTCGTTGTCATCCATTTCAGTAACGAGAACATGCGTAGAATCATGTTCATGTTCATGAAGCATTTTCATTTCTTTCGTTGCACATCCAACTGGAGTCCCTTTTTCCTCTGATATAATTTTTTCAAAAACATCAGGAATACCGTCATCATCTTCGTCATCGTCATCCTTATTATCATCATTTTTATCATCGTCATCATCGTTATCTTCTTCCCATTGTATCTTTACTTTATTCTTTTGTATAATGACGTTACCTAGATTATCTAATTTGGAATCTTTCTTTTTTATCAAAAGATCAAGAGATTGAGGTGCCTCTTGTGATTCTGCATTATGCGATATAATTACATTCGATAGAATGTTGTTCCAATCTACGGAGTTCATTGGATTCTTGCACTTTTTCTTTTTACTAAAAATAATAATAACATTATGAATAACAATTTAAGATAATAGTAAAAATGAGAATAATTATCTTTTAATATTTACCATACTGATTCGATTGCTTTAGTATAAATTTCAATAGCATCTTCGAGCCATCTCACTTCTCTTAACTCCTCGGCGTCATATTTTCCTGTTCCTTCACCGTGAGACCACCATTTTGATTTATCGACCCTTGCTTCGAGTCCAGGTAATTCTTCTCTTTATGTAATACAATCATAATGTTTGTTACTATTATTTATTTATTAAAATCATAGTTGCTAATATTGCTATTTTTTTTTTATTAAAATCTTATTCATAATTTTAACTATATAATACATTAATGTAATGAAATACAAAATATATTGTAATTATATTTAATAAAACAATATTGATGTTTTCTTATTTTTTCAGTAATGCAACTTTTGAGATACTGTATATATCTAATTGTTAATGTTAAAAATGTAAAAATAACTACCTTGAATCTTCCAAAAGTAATATGGTGTTAGATGTATCAAGATTATTAACATGTTCATCGAGATTTCCTTCACTAACAATAAGAATAGTTGCGTTTACTAGTTTATTAAAGAATCCTTCGTCAGGTTGTCCAATATGAACAACATGCGACGTATAATCTACAAAAATAATAATTAACGTGATAATTATTGATAGACCATCGTAAATAATTATTTATTTGGACAAAAAAAAATATGTTTTACCTTTATCTTTCTCATTATCGTCATCGTTGTCATCATTGTGAACAATAACGCACAAGTTCTTTGCAATAGCCGCCATAGTTAATTTCTTAGCAATATTCTGTACATCATCATCTAAATCTTCGTCACTATTAGCCACCAATGTGAATGATTTCCATTTTAGCATTTCAATGACTTTTAAAACTCCCTAAAAATAATAATATTTTATTTTGATGTTATTTATATTTAAAATATATCTAATAACTAAAAATTGCAAAGTTGCATTTACACATTTTTTACTAAAACTCACATTACTTAATAATAAGACTTTGATAAGCAATGGAAAATTTTGTTATCTTTAATAATTATAATAATATTAAATATAATAAATTATAATTATTATAATTATTAATTTATAATTAATATTATTTTAATTATACTAAATTATACTATCTTCTAAAAAACAAAATTATAATCGTGTCCAGTTATTAAATACACGCTGTATAAAATTATCCAACTCGTAACCCATGCGAGCTGTTCATAACCCATATAATATAATAAATGTTCTTAAAACATTTAAATTTGTATAAACTTATCAATTTTTATTTTATATAATTATCATTAACATTAATTTATTTAATATACAACTCGAAATAATATTTTTTTTGAATTTTCTTTGAATATGATTACAAGAAGTAAAACATTGGGCATCCATTTTGTGTATCATCTTGCAATATTATTATTAAAAAATGTTTCAGTTACCTCTACCAAATAGGAATCGGATTCGTGAATGAGTTGATGAAGATATGGCGCGTTAGATGCTTTTCTCACAATATGTGGTATCTTTAACACAGATGTTACTTTGTGAACAGCTTCGGCATTTGTTGGTGTATCAGGACCAATTATACCTATACGTTAAAAAGGATTGATTATATAGATATCATATAAAATATTCTTCATTAAATCTTTTTTTAAATAATAAAAATATTTACCCAAATAATGAGGAGCTTGCAAACAATTAATGTCCGCTGAAACTAAAGCTTTCATGGAAGCTTTCAATGCACCTGTGATGCTGCCACATGTATCGAAAACCGCTATATCTGTAATATAGATTTTATCTTATTATTATACTTCTATTTATTTGATTAATATTTGACTAAATAAATCTTTGTTTAAATAAAAAAATAAATGATCAGAATATTAAAAGATTTCATTTATTATTAAATATTAAATGTCAAGGCTGTGTTAAGAGTTGGATTGGAGTTGCGTTATTAAATGTGAGAGTTTATGTTGTTAAATATTTATTATTTATTATTATAAATATTAAATATAAATTGAAAATAATTTGATAATTATTATACTTAGAAATATTTTTATTTAAATACGGATTATTTATTTAAAATACTGACAATTCTTATATTGACCACTGTTATTACATACTAACATTTTATATTATAAATATTGATTGTTTATTCAAAATATTCAATAAAAATAATTCCAAAATATTAAAACTATTTATTTAGAACACTGATTAAAAATGTTGAAAAATATTGATTCAATTAACAACTGTTTTTATCATTTCAATATTATAAAACGTTGACAAATGTAACAACATAATAATTACCAATATCCATAGTATTAGATTTATTGTTATGAATCTCCATCAATAATTTAGCGGCCTCGTAAAGCAAAACACCTTTAGTTGATATTTTTTTACAGGGTGCGTCATCGTGAATGCTCGTCAATAAAGAAATGTGTCCTCGTGATTCACATTCTGTACGCACTCCGCAAGTACATGCAGCTATGATCACGAAAATGACACCCCATTGACGATATTTTTCCATTCTATCTTTTTTTTTTTTGATTAATTACTTTTTTTCAGTAATTAATGCTTTTAACGAAGACAAACAAAAAATTTTTTCTTTCTTTCCTTTTTATTATTCGAATTACAACACTAAACCTTCACTTCCACTTGTTTTTACCATATTCTAAATTTCATTATTATTTTTTTTTTTTTACAATATTAAACGACGTAGGAGGATGTTTAATTTTAATAATGAAGAAAATAATGTACGTTTTCGATCAAAAATCCTACGTGTTTGTTAACAATACTTTAAAAAGTAGTTGATCGAAACGCACTATACGGAAAGACTGTGATCTTCCTTCCGAGTGCAGACCTTGGTATTGAAAAATGCTAGCTTTATAAGGAAGCCGCGACATGTATTATGTGAATTTGTAGGGTTTTAACTATGTTTCTTCAAAGCAGGTGCTCTCAAAGCAAACATTTTTCATTATTTTCCTCAGCTAATATTTCATTCAATTTCATTTACTATTTTCATATAATTTTCATGTTAGTTTTATTCTCATTAATATCATTTAAAATTACAATTGTTTTCATAACAAGCTTGAAATACAAATTTTAATGTTCTTTTTTTATTTTTTTGTAATAAAAAGTTATAATATATTAGATTAAATGAATTTTATAAATATAATTATAAATTATATTCGTTAATTGGCAAATTTTTGAATATTTGTAAAAAATAAATGAGAACCACATTTAATGATCTCAAAGCTTCTTATCGTAGTATATCGATTGTTAGATGACTATACTTAATACTTATTGCACAACTAACTCTTGCATAACATATCGTACGATTAGTTAAATCTCGTTGGTGTAAAATTCGTAATTAACATTACCTACCAATGTTATTACAAGAGATAATCGAATTTGTTACTTTTATTAGATCATGTAATGTGTGATATTTTTCTTATTTAATATAAGATAAGACTTGTATAACATAAAGGGGACCATTTTGGGACTTAAAATCTATTTTATAATCTTACCAAATATTTACTTTACTATAATTTTATATTATTCCATGTATATATATAAAGTATATAATACTATTAATTCATGAAAAACCTAAGGCTTACACAAAAAACTAGGTGTTTTAAGGAAAGCATATAAAAAGAATCTTATTATAGTTAAACTTATAATTTGATTTGTTTTTAAAGACTACTTTTTTTCTACAATACAACAATGTTCTTATCTTTTTGAAAATTACTTTGAAAACCAATACTCTGTTAATTGTGCTATTCTATCTTATCTAATCTTATGAATTAAATTTTAACTTTGTTACTTTTCGTGAATTCTTATATTACCTAGTTAAAGTTAGGGATCCTGTGGGAGGGATGCGCCATGTACATTGCTGGGGGACCGGAACTCGATTTTGCGCTGGAATGATTTAAACATTGAAATAATTATGAAATAATGAATTGCATCAAATACAGAAAAAAAATGAACTATATTTAATGATAATTAAAAATTTATATTAAAATAGAATAGGTTACACGAAAAAATAATTATAAATTCAAGCAGTCCCCCAAAATTTTCAGCCAATGGCACATGAGCTGATTATGAATGGAGCATCCCTCCTACAGGATCCCTAGTTAAAGTATGTAAGTCTGCCTTTTTCATACTTTAACGAGTCAGTGTGTGAAGTTATTTCATAGTTTAACTACTCATTTCATGGATTAACGGATTCCATGTTTTAATGGTCACATATACAGGATGAATCTACTAATATGCTAACTTCAAATAATATAGTATTTATGTGATGTTAGGTTTATATATGATGAAAGGTTTTAAACAAAAGTTTAATGCTGTCTAGGAGGACATGCAATTTTCTAATTTGTTTTAATAATGTCTTATTTTTTTATAAAAATGTTAGGGTCACTTTATATTATTTTTTAAATCAAATATTTAATATTTTTTGTCAAATTTGGATATGTCATCAAACTTTGAGTGAAAAGTATTATACACACACACAATGTAAGATTTAAAAAATTTTTAAAAATACTTTTAATCAACTTAGTTCTTAAAACCACTTTGTTTACAACTGTAGGCCATATTTGTAAACATGTTTTCAGTAAAATACTAAAAATCATCAACATAAAATGTTCATTTAGTATCTTACATTAGTAAACGTTAAAGTCGTTTTAAAAAAGGTGGTACATTTTTATTACAATGCTCAGTAACACTGAAAAATACGATATAATAATTGTTTATGGTGAGTCTGAAGAAAATACATTAAAAGTTTGTACCAAGTTAAATATTCTGATCGAAATCAGCCATTTCATTCTACCTTAATAAGGTTTATTGTTAACCAGAAACAAAAAACATGGCAATTTAAATGTATAAAAATGTGAAAGGTATTTTAAAATTGTAAGTAACGAAAGATATCGTATCTTTACTTTAACAGCTATTACCCATAATCCTCAAATCGGTACATAACAAATTTCACATAGTATGGACATTTGTATCGTAAGTGAGTGCATTGACTGTAATGGACACCATCTCGAATATCACTCTCAAAATAAAACTTGTTTTAAAAGTAAGATAATAAAAAATAAATTAGAGTAATGTACGTGTCCTCCTAAATATCATACAAATCTTTTGTTTAAAACATTTTTTCATATAACAAATAATTTACGAATTATTTAAGATTGTTATACAGATTCACCTTGTATACAAACAAACGTGTACTACTAACGTGTAATAAAATATAAATTAGATTAATTTACGTGTTTTCTTAAATATCATGAACATCTTTTGTTTAAAACAGTTTTTCATACAACGAATAATTTACGAATTATTTAAGATTGTTATACAGATTCACCTTGTATACAAATAAACGCGTACTACTAACGTGTAATAAAAAATAAATTAGAGTAATTTACGTGTCCTCCTAGATATCATGAAAATCTTTTGTTTAAAACATTTTTTCATATAACGAATAATTTACGAATTATTTGAGATTTTTATTTTAACAGACTCACCTTGTATACAAATAAACGCGTACTACCAACGTACTGTAAACGTGATGAGTATAACCGTTTATGGTGCAGTATATGTTTTTTACCGTGCAAGGAAGACTTAAATGTGCTGACAATGTTGCGTCATTATTATATACACGTAAGTAAGGTTTGATTTAAGGAATCTTTTGAATCTTAAAAAGAAATTTATTATACGTCAAATACGCGTGTATTAAAGAATTACAAATTTGACACTGATTTATTAATATCTTTGGTTATATCTCTTTCTGTTTCTATCTTTCTCGGGAATGTACTACGTATTTAAAAAAAAAAAATAGGAAATGGATAGAACGTAGTAATAACGTTAGATGATGGGTTTTCAACGAAAAGACAAAAATCTATCATTATTCTGTCACCGTGTAAATACCCGTTTATCTATTCTCCCTGCTTCAAAGAAAAAGATTTAAAAAAGAGATACCACGTATATACATGGTCTGGCTATCTACCAATAATAACACGCAACAACGATTTTTAACTCGAACTTAGTTTTTTCTTTTTAGTTCTTTCTTTTTGGTTCTTTCTTTTTCGTTTCCGATTTTCTTCAGTTTGAAAACAACTATGCTTAATATATATATCCATTCGTCTGTCAAACTTTTCAATAAATCTTCCATGTACACACATATGTATTACATACAGAGTGTCTCAGATGTTATGAATCAATTGAAAGGAAGTAAAGTGTGAAAGAAAAGAAAGGGGATATTGTTTTCAACTAAACAAACCGATTTCTTATTTCATTTTTTTGTTGAAAATTATTTCCTTTATAACTTCATTTCATTGGAATTATTACTTTGAAGTCACCCGGTATGTCCGCTCATATAAGCTTAAAAAAAGTATTTTTAAGACTTTTATACAAGGATAGAGCAACGAATCTTCCTATGTTGAATGGTTTCACATGAAGACAACGTTTTCTGGTAATTCATAAATGTGTCTACGAAATGATAGATAATATTTGACTAGAAAATTTCTATCTAGTAAATCATAATGTTAGGTATTTTATACAGTATATATAAAAATTATCGAGAGATGAACGTTTATAGTCATGAGTGACGTCATCGTCTATAATACTCATTTTTCTAAGAATAAAAGTGCGAATATTATTGAGAACGTTTATATTGACTAGAGAAAGTGCTTTTTCTCGTAACACAAGAAAAATAACTTTATGAAGATATTGTTGAATTGAATACATTGTTTAACACGATTTCTATCATCCAATCGAATTTTTACTAAAACTTTTCGTTACGTGTCACATGGGTCGTAAACGATCAACGTACGAATAATGAAAATATCGAATGGTCTGATTGTGAGATGTATGTTTACTTCGAAGTTAGGTCAGTATTATTTAATTTACACGACACTAATTATGTTAATTGATGATTATTGCTGTAAAAAGCATTGTCGATGAAATGTGAAAAAGAAAAGTTTGTTACAACGAATTATTTGAAGAAGTAATCGACTTTTACGATTATTCATTATTTTTTGTTATTAGTTTTGATCGAATAACGTAAATATAATCAATAATAATAATAAACTTTTTATATATTAGTATAGTGAAAAGTATTAGCAAGTTATATTTGAATTATGTATTTTTTTCATGTATTAATTTTTTCACATATGCTATACCTAATTATTATTAAAATTAACATTGAATAAGAATACAAATTTTTTAGTTGAACATCAATCAAGTAATTAATTACATAAATTAATATAATTATAGATTGAATAATAAATTACTTTTTCAATCAAGATATAGCTAATATTATTATATTTATATGTATACAGTTTAAATAATATTAAATGTAATTCTAAAAATTATTACTATATTAAAATTAATTCAATAATAGTAATAATAAATTATAATTCTATTTGTGAAAACAATTAGGAAGTTACACTATATGAAAATTACTAATAAAAAACTAGTAATATTTTTACCATATTTTACAAACATACACAAAAAATTATAAAAATAATAAAAATAAAAATTCAAGGACTTATAGCGATTTAAATATGGTCATGGAAAAAACAGTGATGTAATGGTTAACATCTTATTCTTATTATTATTCTTATTAGGACATCGTTCTGTTATCCCGAAATTCACAGCCTAAAGAGAGTATTTTGTTAGTTCTGGGGCTATTATTTTTTTTTGTTTAGGTAAGGTTGCTAGTTTCACCCTCATGGTTAACATGATTTAAGATTTGTGTTCATCTAAAATAAAAAACAATATTCTTTCTTAGAAAAGTTGCTTTAATAATAGAAATTACAATAATAAAAAAATTATTTTAATCTTAAAATAATGATATTTGTTAAATTTGAAGTCGATTGGATAAATAGAACTCGAGATATCATATCGACCAGCTTGAGAAAAGTAGTTTCGTAAAAGCGAATTTAAAGTTTTAAAGTAAAATTGAACAGTATCTGATTCTATCGAATTAAAATGACTATAGTTTCAAAAATTTTTCAAATTTTTTCATTTTTTTTATAGGAACATATCTTTAAAGGTTTATACTTTCAGAAAATGAAAAAAGAATTAAAAAAAACGAATTTCTCAAAATTCCAAACTTAAATAACCCCTTTGAGTCTAAAGCAAACAAAAATAAATTTTAAATAATTGAGAAAATTAAATAAATATATTTAATAATTAAATTAGATATTATATTATATTATATATATATATAACTATAATAATTGTAGTAATTAATTTTTATATAATTTCTATATAATTATAGTATATATATATATAATTACTATATAATATAGTAATTATATTATATAAATTTAATTATATTATATAGTAATTAAATATAAAATAAAATTATAATTATAATTATGTAAAATAAATATAAAATAAATTATAATATAATATAAATTATATTATATATTATAATAATATTAAATTTTAATATATTATATAATAAATAATTAATTAAATGAAAATTAAATAAAAATATATTCGATAATTAATTTATCAATAATAAATCAATGTAATACCAATTAATCTTTTACCACGAAGAGAAAATAAATACCAAGATAATAATCACATCACCATGTAGTTAGTTTTCATTGCATAATATGATTATCTTGATAGATATTCATCGTTGATAGGAATAACAAAGCTTTCGTACGTAATGCAAATAAACAAATTAACTGAAAGTACATTCAGCTGTAACTCTTCCTCTTGTGTCTTTTACTCGTTTGCCAAAGATATATGTACTTGAAAAGAAACATACATACATACATACATGAATGCATGCATACAAACCACGACCGTAAATACGCGTAGTAGAAAAAGCGCATGCTCGAAGTAAAGGGGAATGGTTCGGTTCTGTTTGAGAGTTGTGGCGGGCCGTGTAATTCCTATTCAGTTTAGCGGTACAATCTGTGAGCCACGTTTCGTGTTTCTGACACACAGTATACTGTTTACAATACTTACGATTTCATCATAAATCAAATTGCATCAATTTCAACTATTACTTCAATAGTTTTGTTTCATCAAGTACACTTACTATCGAACAATTAAAAAATTAATGCAACAATTCGTTGAAATAATAATCAAACAATAAATAAAAAGTGTTATACTTTAAAAAAAAATAAGAAAAAATATTATAAAAGATACTTAAGGTACCAAAAGTGAAAAAAAATAACTATAAGAAAGATCGTAAACCTTTCTGGGTGTGAATGATACCGAGTTATCTAAAATACAAGCATCGATTTTTACGATGAAAAACGACGGTAGAATGAACTTAATCGTCTGTGATGATCGATACGAAAATGTTATTCCTTTCCTATTTTTCTTTATGCTCTGATCCTATTTTCATTTAATAATTCCACTTAGAAGAACTCGATATATTTTCTCTAATAAAATATGTATCTTATACATTTGTTATTGTTTTTGTTTCACGATCAAACATTTCTTAACATAATCTTTTTATTATAATTCATTTCATTAAAGTTTAAATCTCTCGTTAATGAAGATGATCATCGATTGGCATAGATTCAAATCGAATCGAGATCTATGGAAGTTAATTGATGTTAATGTGACGTTGTCAAGGTAAACGAGGGTGTTTCGCGAGGACTATTAAGAAACAATTAGAAATAATATATTTTAGGAATAGTATACAAATGATGATGATGATAATAATGATAATAATCATTAGTATTGGTTTTATCGATTTTACTTGAGCAAAAGAAATTGAGAGAATGAGTGTGTGAAAGATAAAAAGAGAAATATCGTGAAAAATAGTCGACAGATATTGAGTTACGGAAAGCAGTTTATAATGTCACTTAACACCCCTGTCTTGATACAAGTGGTGGTTACTTCAAGATCAAGACGATGCTGTATGCTGTATGAGATCCCTATTAACACCTTTATTTTATGTTATCTATGGAATTATACCAATTTCTTTCTTAATTTTCCGAAATTTTTCAACTTTTGTATATCTTTGTATTTCAATCTCACACGAACTAAACACGTAGCAAGTGTGTAATGAATTTTATAAGTGTTAATTTTTTATTTAAATCAAACCACGTGTATCTTGTGAACTATAAAAATGTCAAAGTGTTTTTAAAAGTGATACGATGGGAACGTGAAAAGAAAATTTGTTATTTCGACGATTTAAATTGTCGAATTAAAGTTATTCAAAATAATTCGATTTATTAGGTATTTATATTATTAATATTTAATTAAATATTTAAAAAAATTTTCTTATTACTTTATACTATCGTTTCTCGATTTATATGGTTTTTTTTATACGTTAGTTTTTTAATATAATAATAATTAATAATAAAAATAATTTTTCTCGGTTATGTAGACTTTATTTTTTAATGTTAGAAATTTATTTTATCATATTACTAACATTCAAAGATTTATTATTTTTTCTTTTTTTTTTATATATTTTTTATTTTTACATATTAATATTAAATTTCTTATTAATATTAAAAATTAATAAGAAAAGATTGATAAAATTGAATTATACAGTATCGAAATCAAAGATAAAACTTATTAGAAATTGTTCATCATTTTTATTATGAACGTTTTGTAAAAATATGGAAAGTAAAAAAGAAATTTTTTTTTAACATATCAATTGTTGATCTTTTCGGAAAATTTTTATTAATAATTTTATTATTCAAACGTGTGAATTAAATATCAATGTAACTTGAGTAAATTTTAGTCTCTCTTTTTTTGGGGAGGACTGGTGAATATTTTCAACTCAGTTAAAAAAAATAAATCAAGAAACGAGATGTAAAATATTTCAATTGTTTTTATTATAATGAATGATAAATTCAATGAAAATATTTTTTCAATCAAGAAATAAATAATCGTCGAGTAAATTAAGCAAAACGTTTACGTTTTGTCGCATAAAACGTAAAAAAATTCTTCGTCAAGGATTTAAAAAAGAAAAAAAATCTATAAAGAAAAAGGAATATAGTAAAAAAAGGAAAAAAATTTAGGAAAATTTTCACACGATAAGATGTTATCTACGATGTCGAGCATAGCTCTTGAATTAAACTCGTCATTTTATACAACCGTAATAAGAAATAGCGCTGTCGATGAATTTTCAGGTAATCTTATTATTTTTGTTGTTGTTTTAATATAAAACTAATCTATCAAAATGAATATTTATAAATAAAAATTAATATCAATTTTAAAATTTTCGTTGTGAAGTTTCAGTTATTGAACCTAAGAATGCAACTTCTACGCTTTACATGTTACCTATGTACATTAGAACAACTTCTATGGTTATTTGCATAATCGTTATGGCACTTGGAATAATAGGAAATCTAATGGTAATTATTTTAACTTGAAAAAATTGATTAGGTTTATTTCTAATTAAAAAAACCAGAAGTATTTAGGTTTATCCAAAATTTATAAACAAATATAATATTTAGGAAATTATATAAAAATTAATATAAATTAATATAATAATTATAATAAAATTAATTATTTTATTTATTTTTATAATAAAAAATTTATATAAGTTTATAATTAATTTAAAAAAATATTAATAAAATTAATATTTATATCCTTAATTTATATATATAAGGATTTATATAATATAAATTATATAATATTTATATTAAATAATATTAGATAAAAATATTAGAATTTAAATATTATCCATAATTATATTTGACAATTATTTTAAATATTATGTGTGCCTTTTAAACAAATTAATATAATCATGCATAAATGTATTAATATTACAAATACCGTTTAATAATTGTACAATTACAGAAAACTGAACTTATATTAAAACAAAAAAAATATTTTAAAAAGATTAGGAACAAATAACGAATTTGAGATTAACATAAAGACTTTTGGTTTAGTCTGTATATGATATATTATACAAGTATAAAATAAAAATAGGTACCATTGGTCGTTCTTCGTGGGAAAGATATGAGAAACAGCACCAATATTTTTCTCGTAAATTTGAGTGTGGCAGATTTGTTCGTCCTTTTAATATGCACCCCAACCGTATTAGTGGAAGTGAATTCTGGACCACAAGTTTGGCCACTAGGAGAACACATGTGTAAGTAAAAGGATCTTTTTGTTCATTTTTTTTCTAAATATGTACCACGATATGTGTACCCATAATTATAAAAGTTATTTACCACTTAGAGTGCTATGGACGAATATATGCTTTTGGTAAAAATTACCAGAGTGGTCTATCAACGTATATACATGTTTGTTAATATTAATGTAAAATAATGTAATGTTTATATTAATTAATTAAATTATATACCCAGAAAGAAAAACTTTAATTATTAAATATAATTTATTATTAGAATTTGGTTAATAATAAATTTAATAATAAAATTTTATTTAATTTATTTAATTTAATTTAATAATATTTAATTATTATTTAATTATTATTTAATTTATAAATAACTTTTAATTTTATAATTATAATAATTAAGATTTAAATAATATAAGTGAAAATGAAAAAAATTAAAATTATTTTAGCAAATTATTTTACATCACATTATTTTCAATTAAATTAATTCAATGCAATTTTGACAACATTGTCAAAAATTAAATAATGAATAAATTAATTATTTCAACATTATATGAAATTAATTTAATGTTTAAATGAAATCATCCTTTAAATATCTTGAAACAAGAGATACATGACTTATGTTAAACCATTTTTATAATTATGGGTACATATATCATCATGTGTCATATTATTACCATCTTCCCATCATTCACACTATGAAGAAAATAAAGATGAGATGAAAGCGCATCGACATCTCGATGATATGTCGGTCAACAATTCCAAAAATATCAAACGCCGCACGTTTTCTCCCCGTAAGCTGTCATTGTTACCTTGGAGTTAGGTAAAACCATATGTCGTTCTTCCCAGTCAAGAAAGTCTCAGAAGCAAACTCGAAGCAATCGATACTTGGAAAGATATAATTAGTAGAATAGAAAATAGTATTCTTTTAAATACTTTTACAAATTTTTTCTTACACCATTTTATTTAATTACACCACCTTTTGATTAACTTTAATCACGTGTTTTTCCATTTTCATACAAATTTTTTTGTTCTAACACGTGTTGTTAATTTACAATAATTTTTTTAACACCCTTTATTAACTTTTAACATGAATTTTATTTGTTTAAACAAACTTTATTATGTTACGTTGTAAATGGTAATTTTTTTACAAGATTTATTGTATTATTTAATTAAATATGTGTTATCAACTATTACATAGTTGTTATAACTCTGGTTATTACTTTTTACAAGTGTTATTAACTTCTATACGGTTCATGTATTACTGTTTATGTTTATCTATCACGTATTATTAATTTTTTATTAATCTTTTAAAACAATTATTAAAAATGTTATTATTTTGTACACGATTTGTTCAAAACGATTTATTCAATTTTTAGAATTTTTTAGTTTAATTTTATTGCCAAAATATTTGATTGAAAGTTTGTAACTTTTTACATTGAAAAAATAAAGTTTTTTGATTATTAAGTTTGATACCATTAAATTATAAAATTTAAACTTCTGTATAATAATATATTTTCAAATATTAAAATATAAAGTAATTTAAAAAGAGAATATATAAAAACATTTAGTAAATTAATATATCATTTACTTTTGTATAATGAAATTATTAAGTTTAAGAACAAAACAGATCAACTATTTACATAATTAAAAATCAATTTTAGAGATGTAATTTTGTAATAAATTAATATTGTTCATGTAAAAATAGTACACAAATTAATTGATGAAATTGACGTCTTATTTCGTGAAATGAAATATTTGTACAGTTAATAAGATTAAATTATCAACAACATTCGGAATCCATTAAACTATTGGATAACTAAAAGAACGAATTACGTAGAAAGTAATCTTTTCGTATAAGATTTTTTTTTCTCTAAAAAAAAAAAGAGGAAAGCAATCCTTTCTCAAAAAAGAAAAAGTAAAACAATCCTTTCGTAAAAAAAAAAAAAGAGACGGGATAACAAATAAGAATACGATTTCCCGACGTTCGAGTTTCTTTACTTGCAATTAGAAACGAGAGAATCGATTTTGTCTGGATGTATGTGTGAGTTACACTTTCACTTCTAATGGATCCCATCCGGATCGCACTTAGGAATGTCTTAGGTTGCAATAAACGGTATGTCGACGCAAAGACTCAGGAAAAATGGTAGGAATGTTGGGAGGATACTCCGACACAAAGCAATGAAAGAGTAGACGAAAATGATATCAACTTATGATGAATTTTATGTATGCATTCTTCATATTTAAACGATTCAATTTAAATTTGATTTTAATCTTTAAATTAAAATTATTTTTTTTTATAATTATTATTATTTATTATATTATCTATATATATATTGGATTGGCAATTAAGTAATTGCGAATTTCACCAATCATTTTCATTGAAAAATCCGCGATTACTTAGTTTCCAACCCAATATATATTTATATATTTATTTATTATTATATTATTATATAGTACTGATTATATAGTAAATATATAAATATAATTAAATATATATATTTAGATATATATTTACTATTATATTACTATATATTATTAATTATATAATAAATATATAAATATAATTAAATATATATTATAATTTATATATTTTAATTAAATATATATATATATTATTATATTTTTATATTTATATATATAAATTTAAAATATTATATTATATTAATTATTATTATTATATATATATATATATACATTAATTTAATATATTAATATTATTACAATATTTTCAATATTTATCTTACAATCTTACTATTTAACAAATAAAATGAAATAAAATAAAATTGAAATATGTTACAAATTTGAATAGAAATAAAATCATTTTATTTTTTAATGTGTATATGTAAGTATTTAAGTATTTATACTTAATTGTTGTTTTATTTTGTATAATTTGACAAAAAATTCTTTGAATAGAATGAGGATATATACAAGTACACATAAACAGGACATATACACATTTTGTCAAGTACTGCTTTGAAAAATATACGACGATTACGTTGAAATCCGAGTACTGCAAGTACTTAACAACAAACTAACGAGATTTTATATCTTAAAATCTTTCGTGGATGGTATCCTAGTTTAGGATTGTCTTTAATATAAATCGAGTACTGAAACTTTTTCAAATTAAATGCATAAAAGGACAACATGTTCTAAAAGTTTTTCGATATAATACATTTTATCTTTATATATGCTTGTATGAGACAGTAATTTAAGTGACCTTTTTAAAAAACGCTTCAATTATTTATCAAAATTGAATGTAAGCATTAATAATTCTAATTAATTATATATAATGAATTTTCATACAAAAAAAAAAAAATAACAAAATAGCAAAATTGAGGAAGTTTTTTTTTATCGTAATAATTTCAACATTTTTATTGTACGTCAAATCATTTTCAGGAAAGTAGAAGTTCAGAGAAAATTTTCATCGTGATTAGTGTCATTGGGCGAAATGCCAAGCGTACTTTTTTTTTCTAAATCGCACGCACATTTCCGAGATAGTAGCAGCTGTCGTTTTATTCTCAAAACTTTTTCCAAACAACTAGCAATGATACGACACTTATTGAAACACAATATTTGATGCTCTTTGAAAATTTCAAAAGAAAAAATATTACTCAAACAAGTGTAGTTAAGTTAAATACGTCAATGTACGTTAAATAAATCAATAAAAATAATCAAAAAATTCTCAAACATTTATCGCAATCAAATTTTGAGCTTTCTAATTTGTATATTTATATTTAATTATATTTAATCAAACGGTTCTCACGTAATATTGCTAAATCGTGAAAGTTATTTCATTGGAATAATTGAAATATTTAGATTTCATGTATTTTTCACTTTAAGTTTTCCTAATCATTGACCAATGATATGACACTTACAAATCACAATATTCGATGCATTCAAATTTTCAAAATAAATAAAAAGTAAATTAATTGTATTGCGTCAGATAATCTTAGATAATCGTAAATGTAAAAACGAATTAAAACTTTAATTAATTAACTCGTAAAAATGGCAAATGGTAGAAATTCGTATTCGCAAAGTTTTATTTTTCATTTTCTTTCAACAGTATTTTAAATTTAGCACGACCGGTGGATCTCTTAATTTTCTTCACGCATTTCGTTGGTAACGTTCGTTTCTGCATTCAACTCGGTTCGGTAAATCAAACATTTAATCATTTGTTCTTTTTACTACCTACCGAGTTGTTCGACAAATTTACCCAATAGAAATTCCATTAAGAGATCACAAATTACTTTTATGAAACTAATAAAAATGATTTGTAATTTTGATTTATCGATATATTTCTTATTTTATTTATATAATATTTATTTCTTACATTTGTTATTTGTGTACTGCAACGAGATATCTTTTATATTTGTCAAAATTTCTTATTTTCTTATTTTATTCGGTTATCTTTGATCTTACTATTACATGGAAGGATGTTGCATGCAAACTTTGTTTAACTGAAACATACTGATCGTTAATATCGAACGAAAGACGTATATATTTTCACTAGATTGCGAAAATTCAAATATAAATCAATAAACACTTCAAACTTTTGACCTATTCGTTCACTTACCATTTCTTTTTATAGATAAACCAAATGCACAAGATCCCGATTCGATCGTACGTACGTACGGTTTGCTTAGACAGTTGTGTTAAAACCAGCCACGAATTTTCTTGCTCTTTTTCAAGCAACTGATGTGTGAATTCGTTCAGTAACGACGCCAGAAATATAAAAGATTCTGCACGTTTTAACGATTATCCTCTTATAGTTATCCATCGAATTGTACACAAAATACGATCTGGTTTAAACATTTTTTTCGGAAAAACTGACTGTAATATTTTTCTCTTTCTCTTTAAAAGAAAAAAACAAGACTTATAAATAAAAATATATTATCTTTAACCAAATTTAAATTAATTGTTTAACAATTACTTTTCATATATATAATTAGTTATTATATTATATTATATATATATATTATATTTTAATATAATATTATATGTGATTATAATTA